GAGAGGTGCACCATTATAACATGCATAATACATATGTAGTAAGAAACCATGTTACTTACCCATAAAGTATGTTTTGAAATGAAAAAGTAAAACAAATCAAAATATTTTTCAATATCCCACATAATCTCAGAAAATGATCATTTCGACTAAAATCAGAATGGACCACCAAATCCAAAAATTATGCCTTATATTGTATGCTATTTAAGTAAAATATTCACACAAGTCAACCGTGCTGAAATTTCAAGATGCAAGCAATACATATGTTCAGGTACTTCCATTGAAAGAAAAGAAGCAATCAATTTTAAAAAAATTAACCCTGTACAAAGATGTCTAGATCATGCAAAGTACTTTCCAGACAAAAACTGAAAGAAAAAACCCTCTCAGAACAACTACTTAAAATCTGTTAATATTAGCTTGATGGTAAATGGAAATATTTTGAAAAAACAATACCAACACTATAGAAGATGCTCTGCTAAATATAATTTTTGTCTGGATTTGTCTTGTCTGTTTTTTGATTGTTTCTGCAAACATACTCGATAGATTAATTGAACTTATCACTTGACACATGCATGGTATTTACAAAAATTCCGCTTTTCAACGTACTTAGGGAAACCTGATAAAGTCAAAAAGAAATATCTTGTATTTTTGTTTGAAGAACTATTTATTTCTCACCCTCTTCGTTTTATTAGTTACTATTCTTTGAAAATATTTTGCTTTCTGTGGTCCCACCGTAAACATTTCAATTTCTTCCCGATTCAATTGTAGAAAGCATTTCTCCTTTGATGATTGAAAAAATCTTCTTGATAATCACGTTTTTGTTATGACGCTGTGAATATTTGATTTTATTTATCTGGACTTGATATAGAGGACGGCTTTTGATTTTTTTTACATAATGTTTATTGGTACTTTTGTATTCAGATTCGTTTTGGTTCTGGTTTCTATTGTTCATGTTTGAGTTTTTGGTTAGTCTCGCGTGTAATATGGGCTTGTTATCCTAAATTTCAAAGAAAGTATGAGAGAGACAACCATAAATCTTAGCCATGCAAGAGAGTTTTCATTTGAAAGCATTTTTCATACTAATTACTCGTATAATCATGCATGCATACGAATGCATTGAAACCAAAATCTCAGTAAACTAATTTACTACGAAAAAATGTTTTCAACAACAAAATATTTGAAATGTGTACCTGTTTTTATTTGGAAATGTTTTCCCAATGAACATTGTTTGTTTCATGTTTTGTTTCATCTTGTAAATTTTTGATTCGTGAATAAATTGAGTGTATAATGAACACACTTGAAGGAGATATTGAATTGTATTTTAATTAAAAAAATATCCCAGTAGAGTTTCATTTGAATACTCGTGTATAATACTTATGAAAATATAACATTTATTTTCTACTTAATTAATACATGTTTTTGGATATGAAATGAAAAATAATTGAAAAATTGTTGAATAAAATTACAGCCAATACACATTCAAGAAGAAACTCCTTGTTCCAAATACATAATTTCACAATATTCTTCAGAAATTCTGGTTTGTAATATTATTAACAAGTTTGAACTAACAGTAATTTTTTGTTGGAAAGAAAGTGTTTTAGTGGAAAAAATATACTCTCACACGTTACATTTCAATTCAAAATATTTGCTTTCTGTATCAGCTTTTTTCGTATTTAATAACACAATCTCAATGTTGGTATATTGTTCTGAATACTCGTGTATTTTGAGTTGCCTATATGTCCGTTGCTTGTGGTAGATGTACAGTTTTTCAAGTACCAAAAGTTTTCGGAATATACGATCCCTTTTACTGTTAACTAGTTAGTTTATTGGGTTTCGAACTTCAAATAAAGCTTCATTTGTCATTAGGGGCTGATGCCCAATCATCTGCATTGTGTACAATACACATTTCATATCATAAATTTTTTATTTTACGTACCAAAGTAAACACAAAGTCAAAGTTATACGTCATACGTTACCGAGAATGTATGAAAAAGGAAAAGTCACAGCTGTATAATAACATTGCAGAAATTCAAGAAAGGTAATCATGGCAATTATTTTGCATTTCATGGCATGAGTGTAAGACTTTAACAACATTCGGTCGATGTCAGTGTCGTAGAAGTAACCGGCCGATTCAATAAACATAAATTCTTTACGAGCAATGAGCTTGCTGGTTTATTACAGGAATACTTGTATATAGGTCGGAAAATGCTTCAATTCAATCAATGGAATTGGAATTGGGGGATGATTGAAACATTAATAGATTTTCCAAAAAAATGCCTCTGGAATTGGATATTGTACAGTGCATTTCTTTAATGCCCCCTCTTTTATTTTTTGAACGGGTCAACTCAAAAAATTTAAATTTGGTATAATGAAATTAATGCATGAATACTTTATTTTGAAGTATGAATGACAGATAAAGCTTTCAAGATGGCGACTGGGCGCCATCTGGGAAAAACATTAAATGAAAAAGAGGGTCTTGTGACACACCATTTTGAAGCTCCTGAGGAATAGTTCACAACGCTAGAAAATGAAGTCAATATCTTCACCCACTACAAAATGGCGGAACATTTAATAATTTCCATAGAACTATTAATTTATTTGGAACAATCATGAAATACAAATCAATTAAAAAAACTAAGATTATAAAAAAAAGGAAAGAAGAAAAAAAAATCACATCAAAGCTGCTGATTCGTTCCCTCCTGTTCATAAAAGAGGACATATGCCTCATCGCTCACAAGTGATTTTGGCGAAATTGGGAACACGTGTGAATCGTTGTATTCATGCCACGCACCGGGAAAAATGATTGAAATCTACCTCGGAATTTTCATTTCGAACGAAGAAAATTACTTCAGTTTTATTGAAAATATACTTTCTCTATTGAATAATTCACATCCCCGAGCGTAATTTCAGTAGGCAATGTACTTTTCATTGAGAATTTAATATTCATCTAATATATGTGTGAAATCATAACGTATTATTTCATGTGAAGAGAATTACTAACTGGACGATGGGTATTTCCCCTTAGTGAAATGTAAATTTTCGCCATCTCTTTATCGAATGTAAAATTACGCTTGTATTTGTGAGCGATTATTGTATTGTTCATTCTTGTCTACAGAAGCGCATCGGTTTGTCTGACGTGTGTATTAGAATATTTTTGTTGTTGGTGAAAATAAGTAAAGAAGGTGAGTACATTTCTTGTAAAATTTCAATAACTAGTCCAATAAACAGATGAATTCATTGAGTTTTCTCGTTATGCATTATAGAGTGTTTTTTTATTACAAGTATATCCTAACCTCATATCGCGAATTATTTCATACTATATGGAATAGTGCAACATATTTTAACTGATTTTCAAATAATTACAGAACATATATTTGAAAATGTTTGTCATAATTATTACTGAATGGTATTGAGAAAAAGAGATATATTCGAGCGTGACTCATCAGTGACGCCGTATGCACGATCCATTTTAAAAATGAATTTCTATGAGGAATAAAGTTTCGTATTGGTGGTTGCAAATATCGGACAATGTTAAATCGTAATTTCATTCACCTACACTGGTAAAAATTTTTCCACCGGTACCGGTGGCAATTTAATTACCGCCCATATTAGCGAGAAATTACTTTCGTGTGTGATCTCACATTCCATGCGGAATATTATTTTGTAATTCTACCCCGAAGACAAGTGTGGAATTTTTCAGTGTAATTTTTCATTTGGAGTGTACTTTTGTGTTGAAATAAAACTTTATAGGGTAAATTTGCGATATAAATTTATATCGATATATTACACTCTTGACAGAATTTTACAGTAGAATTTTACACTTTTACATGATTTCACAGTGGAATTCTATACTCTGATGAAATTTTACATTGTAATTTTTCATTTACGGGTTGTATTACCTTGGGATATTCCGTTGTAAGAAGGTCCGTATTCAGAGTAGTTTTGAAGACAATGATACCTCAATCGGATGTTGACTCTTGACTCTTAAGTGGCCATTTTTCCTCATAATTTAGATNCTTCATACCATATCATTATAGCTATATTTGCTATATTTCAGAAAATGTTGGAAAACATTTGGAAAAATCTAATTTTTTATTTAAACGGTTGAATATGTATCAAAAATTTTTGAGAAATATTAATATTGAAGTCAAACTAGTAGTAGTTTTTCTCTAGGAATGTGTGTTCGTCAACTTACTGTGTTTTTAGATTTCTAAACCTATTCATTTGATGATATTTCATTTCTCTTTTAGGATAATAATAGGAATTGAGGAAAATAGAAAAAGGAATATTACTTTCATTTCCCTTTCCGAATAATACCACCATGAGCAAGAAAGAAAATGTGTTACCTACAGAATGGCAAGCCCGCTCGCCAGATTTGAATATCTGGACATTTTAATGTGGTTATTTGAAACAAAAGGTATACGAAACTGAACCTGCTTCAATATTGGATATACGGCAGAGAATAATAAATATTTGTAGGGATATTGACGTTACTGTGTTCGAAAATGTTCGGCGTGAAATATCGGATAGGCTGTTCATATATCAAGAAGTTCAAGGCAATCATTTCGAGCATCTTCTGAACTGACCTCAAGCTCATTACCTCATGTTATGTAGTTAAATGTCAAGGTAATTATTAAAAGTTCCAACATTTTCTAGTAGTTGAAGATATTGACATTATATTCTAAAGTTGTGAAGCATTTGTCAGGAGCTTCAAAAAGATGTGTCACGAGACCCCGCTTCAAGATGGCGCCCAGTCGCCATCTTGAAAGTTTCATCTGTCAGTTTCACTTCAAAATAAAGTATTCATGCATTAATTTCATTATCCAAAATTTCATTGGTGACGTGAAACGTTTGAAGTGTGTAATGAGAGAAATATTCGAAATATGCAGTATGTTATTAGAAAAACTTCTTGACACGATGTTTTTTTCTCTCGAACAAATACCTATATCATAAATTAGTTGGGTAAACAATTCAGAATCAATAAAGAAATCAAAATTACTCACCAACATTTCTGAAGTAGAAAACTTGTTCTTCTGTTTTTTTCTCATTCAACAAAACGAAGAAATGATAAAACAGCAAGTTCACAACGATGCTTTCGAAGCAAATTTAAAATTTTTATGTGAAATTATCTCCAATCTGTTTGAGAGCAATCACTGCTTTCGAAAAAGTCACTTTAACGCAATATTCAGACGAATGAAGTTACTACTGGAGATGATTATAAAAACCATAGTATTGATAACCTTAATAGTCTAGTCAATAGAAAATATTTTCAAAATCGACTACAGAAGAATCATAACTCTGAACGTTTGCATTAAAAATTAATCAACTTTGTTAGATTGAATGTTTGTTTGCTATGAATAAAAATAGGTGTTTTAATAAGTTTTTTACCATTAGGAATTACTGGGCATTATGAAGGAAAAGTGTTACTTTTTTCAATTTCATTCATTAAAATGATACTGTAGTGATTAATTCTTTCATGTGATTTCACAATGGCAGTGAACTCATTAACTAAAACAAATTATGTCTTGATTGACTTCCAATTTTTTTATAAAATCATTTATTCTCATGATGAACGTACCTTTTAGGATTTTCACAGATATACTTCTTTTATATTGTTGCCCTGATTGGCAGTTATAATGAATAGAATGAGAAAATAAGGTGGTCTTTACTTCTGAAGACTCCAGTCAACTGTAATATTTCATACTACGGGTTATTTTCCAAGATTCTTCAATTAATTTTATTGACAAAAAAGCAGTCCCACTGAGTCAATGTTTGGGACCGCCAACTAATTTTCTTATATCCATTCTCGGCTAAAGCTGAATAAGGTTAAAGCTTTGCTCCAATGTAAACAGTTATATGTCATTTTCTTCGATTCGCTAGTATCGCAGCTCTTATTGTTCAACACGGCTCCAACATACTCGAACGTGGGTCCATAAATATGTAGGTCTTTTAGATGCAATCTATCCATCTATACCTTTTCAAACACCTTATGCCTTTGCTAACTTTTACTAAACTCATTGTAAAGGGTCTTCCAACAGGGACAATTATTCACATTCTGATATACATTTTTAACTCTACTTTGAGAACAGTAACCTTCCTGATGTTTTCAAGACATTAGATGTAGTTCATTGAGTCACATCAATAAATACATTCATTTGTTTGCAACAAAACTGAGCAAGTAAATAACACCACTCAAATTAAAAGTTACCTAAATTGTCCTGTTTGTCCATCATCAATTCAGATATAAAAGAAGCAAGATAATTGAATTCAGCTATTACGAAAGGAGTTTGATGTGTTTTGTTTGACTTTGGTGGAAGTCATAAAGAGAATTTTATTGATTCCCGACAAATGCTTCACTTTACTTGGTTTTATCACAAAACTGGTGATGACGCCAACAATTCAGTATCAATGATAACTGCTATTGATATTGAATTGCTATCAAGAGCTATACTAGGTGACTCAATGCACTATTCCTTTCTGAAAATCATACAACCTGAGTCCAATTGATAATCGGTGTGAAGGTTTTTTTTCATTTCCAATAATTAATGTATCGAAAGATACGGACGGTAGCCGGTCGGTTCGACGCGGGTGCTTTGTTCACTCACTCGAATCGACCGCCGTGTTGGACGTTGGTTCAAGCCCCAAGCTGAAAGATCGATTTTCACTTGCTATCGTCTAACCCGTGTTGGGAATCACACGTTAAAAGGTGAGACCTCGTTAGTCCTTAGCTCGCACAAGTTTCGACTTCTGAGGGTTGTCGTTCATAGGGGTGAGACAGCTGGTTAACGGAAAAACAGATTTTGAACAGTTTTAAACAGATCTTATTTCAATTTAATTTTCTATTGCAAAATCATTGAAAGTAGTAATCATATTGAATTGGGAAAAAGTGATATTGCGATTATATAATACCTACAGAAGAGGAGACTACGACTGAAAAGAAAATACTACGATTTTGAATGTCCTAATGCACATTCTCATCAGACCAGTGTAAAAATAGAATGGATGGATTTCACAATTCATTCTACATTTCAAATGTTTTGACATTTTCGTCGACCTGTAAAATTGTTTAATACTGTGATCCTTGAAAACTTATCGCATTGGAAAACTTAGGTGTTCGAGCAATTCAATTGGAATTGATGAGAAACTACCTCAGTAATAGACATCAGTGTGTAGTTATTGATAGAGCACTAAGTTCATAAGAATATAATTGTATATGGTGTTCCCCAAGGTACTGTATTGGGTCCGATTTTTTTACCATTTATATCAACAATCTTCTCAAAATTCCATGTGAAGGTAATACTATTATGAGCTTTGCTGACAACACTGCCGTTATCTAAGTATGAGGATAAAACTTGAGATCGGAAAATGATTTCTTTCTTAAACATAAACCATCTAAAGAAATCTGATTATATGAATTTCTTTTCTTTGATAATTTGAATATGTAGGCAAAATTGCATTGCATTTAAATCAAAGAGAAAAATTATTTTCCAATATCAAGCTACACTGGCTGTGGCTAAAGAAATAGATTACCGATTCTTAGAACGGACTTTCGTGCATCATCCTTCGCATTTTCTTCATCTCATACTTCTAAGGGTTGCCCTAGACTACTAATTGACGGTTGAAATAAATTTAATCTGTATGTATTAGTATTTTTAACGCTGGAAGAATCAATTAACCAGGGCAAATACATTCATACACCAATAACAATTTTCCATTCAGTGTGCTTTTTCCAAATCTCTTATTTGGATATCATGTAGTTGACAAATAGTCAACGGTACAAATTCAGAAAAATAATTTTGAATTGTAGTCCACTCTGTAATCTTTAGTATGTCTTTAAAATATCTTCTATTAACTATTGTCGATATTATACGTAAATATACTGTTGTTGTTTGTCAACTCAAGCATATTAGGAAATTTAGTAATAGAGGCTTCATAGACTTCAATTATTCTGATTTTTTCCTTTGAATTGCAACCTTGAATGCCTACATCTGTTTTGCGGTTCAGAGTAACTGACTAGGATCGACAAAGCTGCCTACCATACTGCCTACCTCGTTTACATTTTTTCCAAAAAATAAAATAAATTGGGATTATTTCTCAAAATTTCGAGAAAGTTATTAGGAATAGTTTTTTTATGTATCAGAATAAAACAATGTAACCTCAGCGGAATTTACATACAACTTTTCATTTTTAGCAATATTTTATTCCAAACACATTTAGCCATATTCAATGTTTTTTATGCAAAATTCAAATAGGGTAAGTGAAAGTAACTCCATAACGGTTTGTGTCTGATAATTGAATAAGACAATTAAGACGAACGAGTACATAGTGTTACGAATGAAGTCTGCATTGAGTGAAAATGAAATTTACGTTTAACTTTATGGAAAGTTCATTTATCTACTTTTATTATTATTGTATATTTAATTTTTTCATTTGAACATTTTTCAAAAGTCAGTCTGTATTGCTTTCAGACATAAACTACGTTAGGACTTGAAAAATAATGTGTTGGGAATAAAGAATTATCAAAATGTACAACGTATTGAGTTTTATTTTGAAATTTACAAAATATAAAGGGAAAAAATCAGAATTGTCTTAGGCAGTCATAATGACAGAATAATATATATCGGTTGAAAGGGAATGAAATTAAATGCTTCAGGACTTTAAAGAAAATTTATAATCTCAACATCCAGTTTATATGTCTTATTTCTTCGGTTCTTCAACATCATCGAAGTCTGAAAATTGTTACGTATACTGTTTTCCTCTCATCTTATCACTTTGGATCAAAATATTGGAACAAGTGTCCCAATCTTCTTAGTGGTTCGCTCCAATTAATTTTTGGTTCCTGACATCCGATGGAGATGATTCCTAAAACAGCAAAGTTGAGGTCAAAAACATTTATTAGTCTTATTGAAAAGTGTATTCATATTGAAAATGAAAATAGTTCAGTGGCAATATAATAAATACAACGTTATTGATTTGGCTTTATTTGTACTATTTGGTGTAACGATGTAACAATTATAGTAAGGTTGAAAGAATTGTTATTAATTTGAATTTTCAGTAAGTGGAAGTCTCATTACTTTTTGAAGTTTCGAGTAACGTTAGAAAGTTGTGGATCGAAATTTGAAACACTTAAATTTTAATGTCTTCAATCAATTTTACTATTACTGGACAACACTTAACACCTGGGCTAAAAAGTCCCGGGCCTGAGAAAGAAAACGCGTTTTTTTCTGTTTAAAATAGGACTTCATTCATCAACTAAATCTTCATCAAGAGCCACTTTTGTGGTATTTTAATGTTTATCCCAAAATAGGCCTTGGTTTCACCACTAATCTTTTCAATCGAGCGAAATTTCTTACCGGTGAGCATTTTTTTGAGGTCTGCGAACATCCAGTATTCGCTGGGAGCCAAATCTGGCGAATGTGGTAAATGCGCGAGCCCATTTCATTTTGCAATCGTTTTCATTGCGTATTGTATTGTCTTGATGAAGCAACACTTTCTTCTTCTTCAAATGGGGTCGTTTTTCCGCAATTTCGGTCTTCAAACTCTCCAATAACCCTATATAATATTCACTGTTGATGGTTTATTTCCTTTCTCAAGATAGTCGATGAATATTACACTACGCACATTCCAAAATACCGAGGCATAACCTTTCCAGCAGATTGTTGTGCTTTCGGTCGCTTTGGATGAGGTTCACCAGGTGCTCTCCACTCATATGATGATTGATTCCGGAGTGAAGTTGTGGGATCCATGTTTCATCCATTGTCACATATCGATGCAAAAATTTTGGTTTGTTATGTTTGAACATGGCCAAAGACTACTCAGAATCATCAAGATGTTCCTGTTTTTGGTCAACAGTAAACTCGTGCGGCACTCATTTTGAACAGAGCTTTCTCATAGTCAAATGCTCTCGCAATATAAAGCTAACATATTCTTTCGATTTCCTCACAATGTTAGCTAATTCAAACACTCTTAGTTCAACAACTCAGTACTTAGTAGAATATCATGAAATTTCTACAGCTTTCTAACTGAAAAAGCGGTGAATGCAACAAGACTAGCGCCATCTATTTGTTAGACCCGATACTTTCCATCCCATATAGTAGTACATTTTGTTTTATTTGATCTGATTTTATCATACATTATACTCTAGTTGCAAGTGAATACTTTCAATCAGAACT